AACAGGCTGTAATATCCTCTTAACCATACAAGGGAAAACAGGATTCAGGACGCCACAAGGGCCATCAACCATATGTTTTTTAACAAGTTCATACAGTCGAGGCTAAATCTGTGGATCAGGTATTTCTGCAGACACAAAAGCATCGACAAAAGATGGCGATGCAACAAGATATTTGTTCTTTAGAATAAGAAGAAAGTGAGCGTGCGGCAAGCCCCTTTTTTGGAACTCAATAACATAAGTGTATGCCGCAACATCACCAAAAAAAAAGACTTTTTGGTCAACTGGTCCTTAAACGCTTGCAACTTAGCATGGAAAACCAGTGCAATGAGGTCAGGCCTGCTTTGTGCTTCATCGGCATGCTGCAGAAGATTCCTGATTTCTGGCTAATTAGGATTACATGTAATTGTTAAGAAGAGATCAGGTTTTCCAAAGTTTTGTACAAGACACATTGCATCCATATAATGACTCTGCATATCCCTAGGGCCTCCAATGAACGAATACGGCAAAATAACTCGGCGACCAACATCAATTCAAAAAACAGCACCAACACCAACGCTGTCCACAAGGCCCGGATAGTTATCAGCCCGGAAAAATTGTTGTTTCTGCGTGAAATAATCTAGTCGATGTGTCTCCAACTTTAATGTAAATGTCAACAATAAATTGTTGGAATAGCGGCCGCTATGGAGCAGCATAGATCTATCTCCTTGGCGTATTTGAAATTTATAAGCATAGTATTCTCTGCAGGACACACTCTGCCACTTACGCCCTTCACGGAAGCCTGCATCCTCTACCCTAATCAATTCATCGGCAATCGTTACATCAGCAACATCAATAGAGACCGAGTTTGTATAGCTAACGGGTTGCACATGAGATGAGCGTCTAATTTTCTAAATACCTTCATGCCATCCCACATCACCAAACGGAAACAGAAGCGGATATTGTAACGGATCATAACAGCCATAATAGTATTGAATATTTTGGCTGCGGCCACAACGGGCATATACGCGAATATGCCTATTTTCACAAATGCCATCAGACTCTTCAATCCAGACAGCTGTGACCTGCGAAGTTGTTGGGGTATTACAAACTCTCTGATCAAGTGAAGGTGAGGAGTTCAAACAAATACTGAACTCATCAGAATGGGCCACATCCTTTAGGCTCCTAAAAAAACGTGCGTACGGATTGCAATCCAAGAGCGTGACCAAATTCTTAACAGTGATTTCATTTAGGCGCGAGCACGACCCGAGTCTATTTTCAATTTCATGCTCCATATCATAAAAATACAATTGAAGATTACGCGGAGGGCAACCAGCAGGCAACACGTCATCGATAAAATGATACATCTGACCCTGAACTTTAAAATTATAAACGCCCTTATTACGCATGCACAAGTTCGGGTCAGTCTTATGTATGCCAAGAGACATGAACGCAATTGTATTATTGTGCGTCCTAACAGATGCCCTGAAATTCCTGGCTTTATCATCATTTGCAGTATACATTTGCCTTAATAAGTTTGGCATCTCATTCGACACAAGGACAACTTCACCTTTGCAACAGCAGAACTGAGGTTGTTCATAAAGCATACGAATTGCACCACAATAGCTACAATCAGGTACAGGCGGGAAAGTTAGAGATTCAGCTGCATCGCAATCTCAGTGGATAAAGAAGTCCAACAAACAGAAAACAAAACCCCAGTCGTACAAAAAGCAATGTATAAAGGAGTGTAATCAAATAAATGAATAGATGTTCATGGTTGAAATTGTTAGAAATATGTGCATTTATAAGCAAAGAATATAATTTAATGGATTTGTGTGAGTCAACATTCACAAGATAAAACATTCCAGTAACAGCAAGGCATTCCAGATCGCGAACACAAGAAACATAACAAAAGAAGCAAAATCAAACAAGGTCAGCTGTAGCACCATAAAAGAATCAAAGAATAACTAGCTAATTTCCCAAAAAAGTAATATGATAGTGCACTTGTGTTATGTTCATTACACACAGAAGTTGATGTCTGGACATTGATGGCCCGCCAACAGCACCCGGTGGGGGAATAGTAATGCGTTTATCAGCAATCAGTCGTTGCCATGCACCTGCAGTTCGTACTCTCTTCTGTTCGCGTGCCTCCTTGGCAGTAAAACGCTTCCGGCCTTTTGCCTGCGTCTGCATTTTGTTCAATAAAACTGCAAACACAACCATTTTTTAGCACAACAACAAGCAGAGGAAAACATAAGCATCTAACAACAACAGTTATAACTAAACAAGGCAACATCCACAAAGGGAACATCATTTCAGCAATTCAGTAAATATTAAATAAATTGGCCCATTTCTTTTGATTTATTTGGAAAAAAAAAAAAAACATAGGTGTAACTTTCTTGTGTTTACAAAATTGTCCAAAAGATACGCATTCCACAACAGCTAATCAAGGTACGGCGAGCACTAATGATTCGATGAATCTCTACAGGGTCGACAATTGCAGCCAGCAACGCCCAATGATACCTTTGGTTCTGGGTCAGTTAACGACCGAGACCTTGAACGGACAACACGTTCATAACAAGTTGCAAAGTCCATATAGTCGTTGTCGGCGTTAGCGTGCTTCAGCATACAACGACACCATCCAAAATGGACCTCTTTATTCACCGACTGCGGCAACATTTTGTCCGTCACCGAGGTACGCCCACCACACGCATGTTCACGTACACGACTCGGTAAGATCTGCTTCAACGGACGAGGCATTAGGTCCGCATCATTTGAATTAGAGAACAACCAATCCCTCACCGCCCTAGAGTCGTCGCCGTCGTCTGAAGACACCTCTATCGGAAAAGTGTGGGGGTCCCCTAAATAGGCACGAACTTGCCCACCATATGCATGCTCACTTCCACGGCTCGGCACGATCTGCTTTGACGGATGAGGCATCATGTTCTCATCATTTGAATCAGAGAACAACCACTCTCTGACCGCCCTAGAGTTGTCATCTTCGTCTGAAGACACCTCTAACGGAAAAGGGCGTGAGTCCCTTGAATAGGCACCAACTTGAGGGCGAACCTGCGCGGCCGGCGTCGAAAACCGCCGCCGATTTTGCTTAGGCATAATGTGTACGCTCTCGTTTTGATAATCCATTAAGGCTTAAACAAGTGGATAACAACAAAAGACGAACAGAATATGCAAGTACATGGTTAATTGATGGCATATGTATACGACGCAATTTAGAACCACGGCTAACCAGTAAATAACGCCGCTAAGACAACATAACATAAGAATAACAATAACAATAACAATAACAATAACAATAACAATATATATTATAATAATATGCAATAATAATAATAATAATAATAATAATAACAATACTTTGTAATACAAAGAAAAACGAAATATATAATATACTGAAATATATCTATAAATATATATATATATATATATATATATATATATATATATATATATATATATTGGAAAATATAAAACATTAATGGCGTCGTCTGCATTTCCGGCGCAAAAGACACTGAGCCTAAACCGAGGGCAGAAAAAACAACCGGATCAGCAGTGTATTCGGTAGAGGACAAAGCATTAAAGTCGACAATCGCCAACGCGTAGTCAAAATATAGACAAGAGTTGAAAAGCAACGGCAACAAAACAGAAGATAATAATTCAAATGTATATACCGTAAACGATACCGCAGACAATATATATCAGCAAGACGAATGTTGGACGGAGACAAAATGCACGCCCAGGTGCAACTCAGACCAAACGGCGAAGACGCAAAGAAATAACCTAAACAGAAACGACGGTCAAAATAGCCGATAAAAGACACGCCGGACAGAGAAGATGTTTGCGAAACGGCGACCTGCGACAGAGCTATCCCACAACAGTCAACACATAAAGAAACAACAAATTTCTGTTGAGGAATGCCGTTATAACGAAGCGAAACTGTATTCCAATGAACACATAAAGAAACAACAACACAAGCTGTATTCCAACGAACACATAAAGAAACAACAGATTTCTTGGCAGGATTTCGAGCAAACGGCAAACAACCCGCAGATTGCAAACGATGACCTTAAAGAAAAAGGAGCATAGTCGTAGATCTCCACTCATGTATCGCAAATGATAGTAAATGATAAATGATACGGAGTAAATGATAAATGGGGAAGGCAACGCACACGCAATGATAGTACAATGCACGACGTGCGCGCCGGGTAAAAGTGGGAAATGGAACAAAAAGTTTAAACAACAGGGGTCAACAGTCATACATGTCAAAACATTCACTGTTCCTTTCGGCGAAGGGATGGCCAAGAACAACAGTAGTTCACTTTTACCCCAAGCACGCGGAGGCAAAACGGCACCATTCAGCCAGATAGCTTGTTAAGACACATACATTACCACATGGTTTTGTCTTCCAACAACCATTATGAATTTTCTACTATCAACATTGCAGATAAAGAGCTTGTTTGAACATCATTCCCCACATGCTTCAATGAAATTGAATAGATAGGATGGCCTAACTACTGCTATTCCAAGAAATGAAAGCCTACCAAATGTTAGATAAGGATGAAGTGCAATAGATTGATGTCGTTCGCCTATGGGTTATCTTAATCTTCTTTCTTGTTTGAATCTATCAGTTCTATGATCGATTGAGAAACATAAACATGTGATTCCTCAACTGCGTGTCGCCACAATTGGGGATATTTCCAGTCCCATATATTTCTAATTCAAACTAAATGGCCCCTTTCAATACCAAAGATAAGAGACATTACCACACAGTTTTGTTTCTCAAAAATCATTCCCCACATGCATGTTTCAATGAAATTGAAGAGATGGGGATAGCTTAACCACTTCTGTCAATACAGGAAAGCCTTCCAATGGGAGATGAGGGCAGAGAAGATAAGTTAATGGAATTCACCAATTAAGAGAATATTTGTTTGAATGATTGGGAAACAAAACCATGTGATTCCTCATTTATATGGCCACACAACAGATTCCATATATTTCTGATTGAAGCTAATAGGCCCCTTGCACATGGTTATGCCTATTTCCTCTACAACTTAAGCTTGTTTAAATAGATCACTTCCATATGCATTTCGATAATCAAACACTGAAGTTCAGTCTAACCAATTTCCAAGGTTTCTACACATCTTCTTCTCTTCCATTCAATTCCTCGCTCTCTATTTTCTAAGTTAATACCATGATCAGCTCCAAGAAGCTCATCAAGCTCGCCAAAAGATGGCAAAAATTTGCTGCCATCCGAAGAAAGAGGATTTCGTTTCCAAGACTAAATGATGACGCGAATAGTTGCAGCACTTCCACTGCAGCAAACAAGGGTCATTTTGTTGTGTACACAGCTGATCAGAAGCGGTTTGTTGTTCCTTTATCTTATCTCGAGAATGAGATCATTAGACAACTCCTAAGCATGTCTGAAGAAGAATTTGGACTTTCAAGCGATGGGCCTATTACGCTACCATGTGATGCAGTCTTCATGGACTACATCGTTTCACTTCTTAGCCGAGGTTTATCCAGAGAACTAGAGATTGCATTACTCAACTCAGTTACTTCATATCGATGCTCATCAGCTCTACTGCACCAAGAAGGGTTGAGAAATCAGGAATTATTGCTAGTTTGCTGATAATAAGTTTTGTAAATGAGGATATTAGTTGTAGCTCAATACATCTTGTGAAATGTACAAATACACCAATACTTGATAATCAATATGTTCAGTAGTCTTCTTTGAAAATTCAAGTATATTCATTACTTTCAAATTCTCCTTAATCTTCAGTTTGTTGCAACACACATAGTTGACATATTTTCTGTTACAAGTGCTTATTTTCATTAATTTTATTCAAATTTTAGCAAAAAGCATCAAACTATATAGTTTTGCCTTATTGAATTTGTAACAATAAAATTTTTCCACTTCCATTTCAGGCGGCTTAGCACCTACCAATAATAATAACCAGAAGGCAGATGCAATTTGAACCATATGATGAGATAGCAAGTCTTGTTATCTAAAAAATCCTGAACAGTTCTAACCAGACCAAGGTCATTCAATTGGGCTATAATGCACAGTTATGCGCTATACGCTTTAAGGTTGTGGACATCAATGCTCTTACCCAAATCATTATTTGTTCCAAAAAACAAAAAAAGAAAAAAAAAATTGTAGATCAGCACATCATAGCTAAAATGTAGACTGTTTTCGAGATTATTCCTTTATTCTTAACTTGCAGAATTTTCTTTTGTCTTGACTTTTAGTGTGTAGAACATGTCTTGAATTTTGTTAGCTTGAAGAGATATTTACTGCTAGTTTTGCTCAAAGCATATTCAGTGCAATAAGATGAAATAGGAATATTTTCAAAGTTACTGCAAAAATGCAGACAAAAATGTATATATATGAAGTGTACAGGAAAACTCTTCTATGCAAAATTTATCTTCACTAAACTAAGTTGTCTGTAGTTTCTCAAGATCTCCTCAAACTAGAGATAGTGTCAAGGAAGGTATCCTCCATACAAGGTATTGTGAGTGCGCCCATTGGATGATCAAATCCGAATTCTTCCTCAGCTTGACACAACAAGTCTTGGAATGAAGGGTCCTTCAAGTATGAAATCGGAATGACAAAGCGCTTCTTCTCACTCTCCCCAACATAAACTGCAAAATGCCCCTTAGGAACTTCACTACTTTCTCTGTTTGTTCTTGAAGAAGATCTTCTAAGGCCTTGCTTAGCGCGGAGAATGTGCCCCATACCAATTGCCATCTTCAAATGTTTTTTTTTTGGAAAGCAGATTGAGGCAGTGCTAATTGAAGAAGCTATAGAAACAATTTGTGAGTGTAGAATTGTAGAAACTATGGTTTGTGTGAAGCAATTACTTGAGTGTGGTGAATACTAAATCAGATGTGTAAATATATATAGATCCATTGGGAGGTGGATTGAGTGGCTAAGAGAAATTTGGATGGGAGGGCAGCCAGCTAACAAGATAAGAGACATTACCACATGGTTTTGTCTTCCAAAATCATCAAGAATTTCTTCTACAAACAAGTTAGAAGAAAAAAGATGAGTCTATGAACATCATTCCCCACATGCTTCAATGAAATTGAATAGATGGGGATAGCTTAACTACTTGTGTCTTTCCGAGAAAGCCTACGAAATGAGAGATGAGGGAAGAGTGCAGAAAGATCTTGGTATGCACCTAGAAAATAGCTTAATCAATTTGCTTGAATCAATAAGATGACTGGGAAACAAAACCATGTGATTCCTCATTTCTGTGTCTCAACAAAACCATGTGATCCCATATATTTCTGATTGAAACTAAAAGGCCCCATACAACTGGGGGTGGAACATGGTTTTGCCTTCCTTTTAAATACATCACTTCTGTATGGATTTTGATCATCAACACCTCCAATTTTTCCCACCCAATACCTAAGGTTTCTACTGATCTTGTTGGATTCCATTATATTTCTCTCAAATTCCTAGTTTAATATCATGATCAGTAGCAAGAAGCTCATCAAGTTGGTGAAAAGATGGCAGAAATTCGTTGCCATCCGAAGAAAGAGGATTTCACTTCCAAGACTAAATGATGATGCAGATAGCTGTAGTACTTCCTCTGCAGTTAGCAAGGGTCATTTTGCTATCTACACAGCTGATCAAAAGCGGTTTGTTGTCCCTCTATCTTATCTCGAGAATGAGATTATTAGGCAACTCTTGAACTTGTCCGAAGAAGAATTTGGACTTCCAAGCGATGGGCCAATTACACTACCATGTGATGCAGTGTTCATGGACTACATCATTTCACTTCTTAGCCGAGGCTTATCCAGAGAAGTCGAGAATGCATTGCTTATCTCAGTTACTTCATCCCGGTGTTCATCAGCTTCACTGAACCATGAAGGGTGGAGAACTCAGGAATTGCTAGTTTGTTGACAGATAGAATTAACTATTTTAAGTATACTTAGAAAGTTTAGATTTCAAATGTAACTCAACTCATAGACTTCAAATTTCAACAAGTTTGCTTTTTATATCAGATTGCCTACCCCCCCATCTCTGTATTTATTTATTTATTTGTTTTTACATAACTGATTTGAGTGATACTTGGTTCTGCTTCACTAAGGCCAGTCTATATAAGCTTAACAGTAGTTCTAAGAATGAAATGATCTGAAATCGATAATATTTTCTCCTTACACTACACTTTGTTTTTCTTGCTATATCTATGACAAATGGCCATATTTTTAGAAAAGAACATAGTTTTCTCTGTTCTTTGTTATTACAAGAAAGAACATAATTGTTTTTATTGAGGGTGTGTTTGAAATACTTGTACGATGGACCGTACCTTAAAGAACATGACTTTTTTGGCAATAAGTAATTTCGTTGCCAAAAGAACTTCAAGAATAGTTAGTATTGGAATCCACCAGGTGTACACAATAGGGACAAAACAGCAAAAAACATTGCAGAAAATGGTAGTTTCGAGTCTTAAGGGTCTTTCTGATACATCTGCTCTTTGGAAGTTCAGCATAATCCTAGTTTTATTCACAGTATCTTATGCAAACAAATTGAGAAAAATATTTGGTAAAAATTGGATAGATTGTGTGATGTTTTCAAAGTTACTGCAGAAAAGCAGACAAGAATATATATAAAAAAAAAAAAAAAAAATTTGCTTTCCAGCAAGTCATCAATATTTGTTAACAACATAATAATAATGTAACTACCCAAGTCCATAGATATACAGAAATTTAGTGAACAATAGGCCTTAATATAATCAGTGAAATTTACAGTTTTCAAGCTGATAATGAGACAGCTTAAAATGGGGGCAAGAATACTATCTATGCAAAAAATTTATCCGCTAAACTATTCTCTTTGTTGTTTCTCAAGATGTACTTGAACTACAGATGATGTCAAGAAATGTATCCTCCGGACAAGGTATTGTGAGTCCACCCGTTGGATGATCAAATCCGAATTCTTCCTCAGCTTGACATAGCAAGTCCTGGAATGAAGGGTCCTTCAAGTGCGAAATTGGAATGACAAAGCGCTTCTTTTCAGTCTCCCCAACATAAACTGCAAAATGGCCCTTAGGAACTTCACTTTCTCTGTTTGTTCTTGAAGAAAATCTTCCAAGGCCTTGCTTAGCACGGAAAATATGCCCCATACCAATTGCCATGTTCAAATGCTTTTTTGGGAAGGTATAGGAAGTGCTAATTAAGCAAGCTATAGAAACTATGGTTTTTGTGATGCAATTGATTGAGTGTGGTGGTGAATACCAAGTCCAACTCAAATGTGTTTATATAGATCCTATGGGAGCTGAGGTGGATCAAGTGGCTAAGAGAAATTTGGATGGGAGGGCAGCCAGCTAGCAAGATAAGAGACATTACCACACTGTTTTGTCTTCCAATAATCATCAACAATTTTTACTAAACTTGTGTGAATGGACATCATTCCCCACATGCTTCAATGAAAGTTGAATAGATGGGGATAGCTTAACTACAAATGAGAGATGAAGAAAGAGTGCAGAAAGATCATGTTATTCACCTAGAAAATAGCTTAATCGATTTGTTTGAATTCGGAAACAAAACCATGTGATTCCTCATTTCTCTGTCTCTATTTATGGCAACCCTAATAGGCCCCATACAACTGAGTGGAACATGATTTTGCCTTCTTTGATTTACTCTTTAGTACTTTAAATAGATCACTTCTGGGTATGAATTTGATCATCAAACCCTCCAATTTCTTCCACCCAATATCTAAGCTTTCTACTCATATTGTTCTCTTCCATTATATTTCTCTCGAATTCCTAGTTTAATATCATGATCAGTAACAAGAAGCTCATCAAGTTGGTGAAAAGATGGCAGAAATTCGTTGCCATCCGAAGAAAGAGGATTTCACTTCCAAGACTAAATGATGATGCAGATAGCTGTAGTACTTCCTCTGCAGTTAGTAAGGGTCATTTTGCTATCTACACGGCTGATCAGAGGCGGTTTGTTATCCCTTTATCTTACCTCGAGAATGAGATTATTAGGCAACTCTTAAACTTGTCCGAACAAGAATTTGGACTTCCAAGCAATGGGCCTATTACACTACCATGCGATGCAGTCTTCATGAACTACATCATTTCACTTCTTGGCCGAGGCTTATCCAGAGAGCTCGAGAATGCATTGCTTATCCAAGTTACTTCATCCCAGTGTTCATCAGCTTCACTGCACCATGAAGGGTCGAGAAATCAGGAATTGCTAGTTTGCTGACAGATAGTATTGATTACTTTTAGTATACTTAAAAATTGAAATGTAACTCAACTCATAGCTTCCAAATTTCAAGAATTTTTTTTTTAAATCAGATTTCCTACCTCCCCTCCCCTGTATTCAATTTTATTTTCACATAACTGACTTTGATGATGAAAACGTAGTAATATTTTGGTCTGCTTAACTAAGGCCTGTCTATATACATAACTCCATAAGTGATCAGTAGTTCTAAGAATGAAATGATCTGAAATCAATAATCTTTTGTCCTTAAACTAGAGTTTGGTCTAATGTATGTACTTTGAATATTTAGTACAAGTAAATATGGCAGAAAAAAAAAAAAAAAAAAAGACTTGTCCCAGTTTTTTAAATTTATACAAAAGAACATGGTTTTCCCTATTACTTATGAAACTGGACTTTTCTAGTTATCCCAAAAATGAAATGAGTTGGCATGTGTTCTGATACAAAAGTGGTATTGTTCATTCTTAAATGTCCAATGGACCTTAAAGAAGTTGTCATTTTTAATGATAATTAATTTTCATTGCAAAAAGCACTTCAAGAATAGTTAGCATTGGAATCCACCAGATGCAAATTACAATAACGTTAACGATGTCCCTCACTCCCTCCTCTTGTTTGCACTTGCTTCAATTGCTTAAGTACTTTTGTACATATTAGGGACAAAACAGCAAAAAACATTGCAGCCAATGAAAGTTCTAGTCTTAAGGATCTTTCTGATATTTTCTAAGTTATTGCAGATTGTATCATAGTGAATAACACTTTCCATGAAGTCATCAATGATTTCTTGAAAACATAATATTAGTGTAACTACCCAAATCTCCAGATATATAGACGTTTAGTGCACAATAGGCCTTCATATAACTAACCACTGAAATTTACAGTTTCCAAGCTGATGATGAGACAGGTAAAAGAAAAAAACTGTACAAGAATGCTCTCTCTGCAAAAAATTTCTCTACTAAACTAAGCTCTTTGTTGTATCTCAATATCTACTCAAACTACATATGATGTCAAGGAAGGTACCCTCCGTACAAGGTATTGTAAGTCCACCCATTGGATGATCAAATCCGAACTCCTCCTCAGCTTGACTTAGCATATCTTGAAACGATGGTTCCTTCAAGTATGATATTGGAATAACAAAGCGCTTCTTTTCACTTTCGCCCACATAAACTGCAAAATGCCCCTTAGGAACCTCAATTTCTCTGTTTGTTCTTGAAGAAGACCTTCTGAGGCCCTGCTTAGCATGGAGAATGCGAGTCATACTAATCGCCATTATATTCTGGGATGTTTCTTGTTAAAGCAGAGGCAGTGTAAATCAAAGATGCTATATATCAGAAAGTATGGTAGTTAGTTGTGAAGGAAATATTTGAGTGTTTATATAGATGATTTGGGAGGTGGATTGAGTGGCTAAGAGATATTTGGATGGAAGGGCAGCCAGCTAGCATGCATGATAAGACAGACGTACAACATCATCACATGGTTCTGTAGGTCATCCAGAAATCATCAAGAATTTCTAATAGATAGGCTGGCCTAACTACTGTTATTCCAAGAAAGATAAGAGACATCACCACACAGTCTTGTCATCCAAAACTCATCACTTAATCAATTTGTTTGAATCAATGAGATGATTGGTAAACATAACCATGTGTTTCCTCATTTATATATGCCCACACTCTAGGCCCCATACAACTAGGTAGCAGCACATGGTTTTGTCTTCCTTGATCTCCTCAAGACCTTAATGCCTATCTTAGCCTCCTCTACACTTTAAATAGATCACTTCCATATTCATTTTGATCATCAAACTGCAACTCATTGTCCACCAAAGATTTAAGCTTTCTACACATCTTATTCTCTTCTTTTCAATCTCTCTATATTTTCTAAGTTAATACCATGATCAGCTCCAAGAAGCTCATCAAGCTTGTAAGAAGATGGCAGAAATTTGCCGCTATCCGAAGAAAGAGGATTTCATTCCCGAGAGAAAATGATGACGCAGACAGCTGTAGTACTTCCTCTGCAGTCAACAATGGTCATTTTGCTATCTACACAGCTGATCAGAAGAGGTTTGTTGTCCCTGTATCTTATCTCGAGAATGAGATTATTAGGCAACTCTTAAACTTGTCTGAAGAAGAATTTGGACTTCCAAGCGATGGGCCTATTACACTACCTTGTGATGCAGTCTTCATGAACTACATCATTTCACTTCTTAGCCGAGGTTTATCCAGAGAACTCGAGAATGCATTGCTCGTCTCTGTTGCATCATATCAGTGTTCATCCGCTTCACTGCACCAGGAAGGCTTGAGAACTCGGGAATTGCTAGTTTACTGACATTAATGTCAACAAGTTTTGTAAATGAGGATAAATGGCCTTACTTAGTTACTTTACAAAAGACCATTGTTTTTGCATCTACTTTTAAAATGAACTTCTCTACTTATTCCAATAATAACCATACTTGTAAATACGAACGAATTCCGAATTTAGTCCATAGACTGACTTCTCCAGTTATTCATTCTCTCGTGCTGAAATTCAAAATTCTCTGCAATATTTAATCTTCCTTCTGCTGTGTGAACTTTGAAAGGGTTCAAGAATAATTCAAGAATACAAAGGTTGCATTGCTTAGATATCACATAGTTTTGTCATCCATACTTATTTTCATCCACAATGTGCACCAGAAGCTATATATTACAGGCAAAAGAAAATCATATGTTAACCTTTTGTGAAGAGATGGTCAAATATTGTTGTATGTTGCAAAATTTGATTTCATTTCAAGTAAATAAAAAATACTGAAAGAGTTCAAGAACAAAGTCTGCTTAATTCTCACTGTTTAAACCAAATAATTTAACCACTACATTGTTCAAACAACACTAAATAACTTATTAGTGAAATGTGAAGGTCTACACCATTGTTAAATCTATCAAACACAAGCAGTTCATGGACTACACGAGCAGTTTCAGAAGTATTTCCCCTTTTCATAAGAAACCAGTCCATGAGCTCCGCCCTCTTGAATTCCACCTTCAGTTTGTGCTGCTCCAGTCCGAACCTATATAAACAGAGCAAAAAATCTTCATTGAGTTACAGTAATTCTGGAAATACAAGCTCTTACAAAACAACACAAGTTTCGCAACCTAACATAGCAATCAAAGATACACAAACCAACCTCTAGTCTTGTTGCCCCTGATCTCAAATGCTGATGGGCTGATTGGATGGACGAAACACCGATGTCCTGGAATCCTTGCTTTAGGGCTTGCATAGTATATGGTATAAACTTCAGAACAGAACCCTTGTCTTTAACTGTTCCAGCAACCCCCTGAGCAATTTTTAACTTTGCTTTATCACCCAAATATCTTGCATCACTTCCCTTAGTCATTGCATCTAATGATCCCATCCCTCGATATCGTTTCACTCGCAGACCATCCTACATGTGGAAAAGAATTTATTTAAAGAAAGGAAAAGCCAAACATGACTTATATTTTAAAAGCATGCACTGGCAAGGTATTAAGAACATGTAAGCATTATGAAAATAAATATATGTGATTGAAAACATCATGACTCTCAAAATAAACCACAGACTGAATCCAATCAATTAGCTAGTCTATCCCCTCAAGTGTACAACCAGGCCATTTTGAATCTAACCAGTCGACCACGGGCTTGGGATTGGACCATGGTCATTCAACTGGGCTATAATGCACATGGGCCAAACCAAAAGACTAACTCCAATCAATTAGTTAGTCTAAACCCATATGCTCTCTCTTATTATTTTTTTTTAATGTGGAACTCTTAACAGTATGAAACTATAGAAGAAATATCACAGGATATTGTTGTACCTTAGTATATTCATAAGTACCAGGAGCTTCACTGCTTCCAGCTAAGAAGCTTCCCATCATCACAGTCGATGCCCCTAGGGCTAAAGCTTTAACAAAGTGGCCAGAATTCTTAATTCCACCATCAGCAATGATGGGAATACCACTTCCCTCAGCAACAGATGACACCTTGTATACAGCTGTAGCCTGAAAAATATTGACAGACATTGCTATTATTTCATATGATTGAAGGTCAGTCTTGAGGCCACAAGTGATGTACTTACTTGTCTAACAGCTTAAAACATAAATGGTGAAAGGGAGATGCATGACATTCGAAATTCGAACCAACTAAAGTATTACAGAAATTTTTTATGCAAGTCATGAGAAGCAGCTAAAGTGAAGAAATGCAAGTGAACCTTTTCTTCCAAGAACCATCAAAATTGTTGGGATCAGGCTGATAGGGAAAACCATTGAGTTTAAATGATTCACAATCCAAGCAATCAAACATACACAGTTATTCTAGCACTGCATTTTGACATGTAAATTGAAAGCTAGCTAACACAATATACATACCGAATCATAAGAAATTAATGTTAAAATTATGGAAATGATACAAAGAGAAGATTACCTGACCCCGTCCAACAGCACAAACTTCTTGAGTGGTACAGATGGAGCCCGATCCCATCCCAACTCTTAACCCATCAACCCCAGCCTGAATCAAACTCCTGGCTTGATATGTTGTTACCACATTTCCTCCAATGACATCCAACTCAGGATATGTGTTCTTCACAAACTTGATCATATTGATTTGGTATTCAGAGAATCCTTGAGAGCTATCTATAACCACAGCATTAATCCCTGCTTTCACCAAATGCTCTAGCCTCTCTTTATCTGAATCCCTCGTCCCTATTGCTGCTCCAACCAAGAACTTCCCATCAGGCCCCAGTGAAGGCAAACCTAATTTAGGGAATCCTCTGATAGTATCCACATTAGCACTGGTCACCAAATTAACCACTTCGCCATCCACTTCGCTCACCAATGGCACAAATTGAAGCTTTTGTGCCTCCAAATACCCAGCTACATCCTCAAAATTGTAGCTCGAGGGCAATGACACCGGCGACTTCGTCATGTAATCTGAAACTCTAGCTTCCTTGTTACTCAAAGACTCCCAGGAAGACCTCGACACCACACCCAACAGTTTCGACCTCTGAGTTCCCGAATCGGTAACAAAAACGCAGGGAGCCGAGCCGAACTCATCCGCGGAGTGGATAGAATCGCCAGGGGATACAAACACCAAGTCGGCAGTAAACGGGATCTTGTGAGACTTGGCGGAGCGGACAATGGAGGCTTGTTGCGAAGGCGTGGTGTTGGAATGGACGATACCAATCCCACCGAGAGCTGCCATGGCAGCTGCCATTGAGGACTCAGTAACTGTATCCATCGGCGAAGCCACGCACGGTATGGACAGGGAAACATTGCGGCTGAGCTTCGTGGTTAGGTCGACGGCGTCGGCCGGAAAATCTATGTATCCTGGAAGAAATATAACATCGTCATAGGTATAAGAATAACCTTGATTAAATAATTTAACCGCCGGAAATCCATCGTCAAACTGAGCTGCTCCGTCCGCCATTTGAGCCGGTATTTCTTAGTAGGAAAATGCGAATGAGGATATCTATGAATACTCGAATACAGAAAAACAGGGTTTTTGCGGTTTAAAGGTGCAGTATACAGAAACCAGGGAAAATTATTCGGTACACCAGGGTACACCTTGCGGGTCCAAAATACACAATTTACATATTAGTCTATCAGTTAATTTTGACTTATTTGACCACTATTTAATTTGGTTAAAATATCAACTCTAAAATGCTAAAATTCAAAAAGTTGCTCAAAGCAGCATTTTTCAATTAGCTTTTTGAGAAAAGAAATTATATCAAACAGCTAACAGCTAATTTACCAAATACCTCCCTATAATAAGTTAATGTTATCAACTAGTTTTATTCTCTAATTAACAAAATCAGCTAACAGCCATTTACCAAACAGGAGGGCCTTAGTGTGTAAATTGTATATATAAATTGTGAACATTCAATATGCAAATAGTATATGTTGGACTCAGATCCACCTTGCAAGGTGGATCCAAGTCCATGATATAACTATTGGGTTTTGGCTGAAAAGCGGCAGCAATTATTTATAATAGAGTTAATTATCGAAATGGTCTTTGACTATAGCAAAATTATCAACTTAGTCATTGACTTTTTTTTTTTGCCTAATTAAGTCCCTCGACTAAAAATTTTAATCAATTTGATCATCCATTTGTTTATTCGTCAAGCATCCATTTACTCGGGACCAAATTAGTAATTTGGTTATAGTCAAGGGACCATTTCGGTCGTCACATGCACCATTTCATCTCTTATTAAACCAAATATTTAATTACCGAAATGGTCTATTGACTATAGTAATATTACCAATTTGGTCCCGAGTAAACGGACGTCTGACGACTAAATAAATGGATGATCAAATTGGTTAAGATTTTTAAAGTTGAATGATTTAATTAGGTAAAAAAAAAATAATCAAGGACCACATTGCTAATTTCGCTATAGTTAAGGGACCACTTCAATAATTAACTCTTTATATAGCCGAAATCTATATTTATAGGTTCTTGTAATATAAAAAAGAAAATGACCATATAAACCTTAAATTAAAATCACTCAATTTTATCCTCTGAACAAAAAAAAACTCATATTAATCCTTTTTTTTTTTAAATGTAATTAGTTTTTGAGTTAATTCCCAAAATAATCCATTGACTATGGTCATTTTTACATTTGTGTTCTCGTTTTTTTTTTTTTTTTTTTTTTTTGTAATTTAATTTATCCTTTGGCTATGAAATTTCTACTCAAATTTGTCTTCCGTTAGAGTTTTGGTTAAGTTGAAGTTAAAATCAAGGGCAAATCCATATTTTCATTTGTTTTCTCCTATTTTGCCCCATTTCTTCCCATTTTGATCCTTTGAGTATAATATGGTAATTTCAATTTTCAAGATTAATATAGCTCATTGAAATTCATCCTAATGTTGAATTACAATTTTATCTCCTAAGTAAATACATCTAGTTTTGTTCGATAAATTATACCATGGATCACAGTTTATTTTACATAGTAAACACTAGTCCAAAACAACATTTAAATTATGTATCTGTAATTAATATATTATATGACTTCAGTTAATAAATGTTGTACATATAGATAAATTACAGACACATAATTTATTATTGTATTGACTATTGATTTTATTGATTTATTAATATGAATTACATCTATTTAACCAAATATTTTGCTATTGGTAAAACTTTTTCCTCCCATTTGTTTGAGGGTCATGTCTTTGTCCCATCTTCTTATTATTATTCTTTTTATTTATTTAAAGTTATCACTCGCATAAATAAATATTAAAAAAAACCTTAATTCATAGACCACTAATCAATTTAGAATCTCTTGGTCACCATCACTAACTCACTTTAATTTAGCCAATCCATCCACTTACAGCATAAATGCCATATTAATTAACTATTGATCAACGACCTACTTCTTAATATATGCCAATAATCTTTTAATCTAATAGTACAGAATGACAATCCCAACTTAAAAGTCATAAATTTAAGAATATATATGAACAGATACATTGTAATAGAATAGTACTAAAAAAAAAAAATTATGTTCAAAATCTCCACCACCTTACCACATCCACAACTATATACTCCCTGAGTCACTGCATAAACAAACACAGGCCAATTTGTCACCACCTTCGTAGTATCTCCAACCATCTTTTCTGGTAGTTCTTTGGGCCATTTTCCGTGCCTCTCGGAGCAAACGTGAATTAATTGGGTGGGCATGAAAATGGACATAAAAAGGCCCGGACCATCTCGTGGTTTACACCCAAAAAAAAAATCAATAGAGAAAATCAAGCAATATAAAGAAAAAATAGAAAATCAACATTTTGGTTCTTCAATTGTTAATATAGTTCCTAATTTTCAATTTCAACTAATTTGATTATCAAATTGTTTAAAATTTCGTCAATTAAACCCTGTGAGGGACTAAAATGATAATTTTTCCATTTTTTAAATTTTGTCAATTTGATCTCTGAAGGATTTAATTGACAAAATTTTAAACAATTTGAATATCAAATTAGTTGAAATTAAAAATTAGGAACTATATTGACAATTGAGGGACCAAAATGGTGATTTTCACAAGAAAAATAAATAAGAAGAAAAAGTAATAGCAAAAGATGACCCCAAACTCTTCTAGAAGTCGTAAATATACTATTACAAAAAAAAAAAAAAATGAAAATTACTTCTTAGTAATTTTGATTCAACTATACAAAATGTTTGACTACACATATATCAGTTAAGATTCTTTTACTTAAAAATAAATAAATAAATAAATAAATACAAACTTTTTTAGTTTTTCTTTTAGTTTATTGAGGAAATAAAAATTCATGCTTTTATTTAAATAAATTCATATTTTTTGAACTACTATATGTGGAAGAAAATATAGGCTGTGAGTCACTTCAATCATCGATTTAGAAGCTATTTAATTGATTTCATGGAAGAAAATTTGCAGAGAGTATTGATGGTTGTTGGGGTCAAAAATTGTCACGCCCCACTTTTAGGACATGACCCGGCCGTATCGTTACGTGAAGACCTGTAACAATACGAAGCCTAACCATACATACCTCTCAGAATCTTCATAATAACACTTGAATATACAATAATTCCACAACCCAAAATGACAAAATATAATCGACTTATTCTTCCCAAAAACTCATCAAATCCACTATTAGATATTTACAATCAAGAGTAGTATGTCCAAAATGCATCACAAGCACCAAAGCCAAGCACAATGGTCTACCAAAAAACACAAAGGGTCAAAGGGAATGTCTAAATAAACAAAAATCCATGATAAGCTCCAAAAGTAGGACTAAGTCTCCAAGTTTCAAAAGTCACCTTCGAGACCCCACCACTTGTGCTCGTGCTATTCACATGTCCTTAACTACTCTGAAACATGAGAAAAATACAAATAATGAGCTAATGCCCAGTAAGTGATACTCCTCTCAACCCCGGATCAAGTAGCCCCAATATAATACAAAAAGCTTTAGAGTAACAACTAGATGCAAAACTCAATCCTTAAATTATATCAAAATCATAACATACTTCCATCATACTATACACAAATTCCCAAAACGAAAAACTTTAGCTACATGGGCATCAATATTATTTCATAAAACAATACTTTCAAAAGCACCAATCATTCCTTTACATATAACTCATTGGCAACCTACAACCACCATTATATTATGTGGCACATGCCATTATCGGTATAATGGTCCAAAAAGACTCGACGATTCGGAATGAGTCAGGCACGACGATTCAGAATGAGCCGGATGGAACGTTCCAACAAATAATTCGAAAGACTCGACGATTCGGAATGAGTCAAGCTCGACGCTTCGGAATGAGCAATTAGGAACGTTCCAAGCCAAACAAAACAAACAACAAAATGTAGGTTGCCTCATGAGTTTGATCAAATAATCAAAATAGTTCTTATAATCAAATAGCCTGATGTAGCAAAAATCATTTGCTTAAAATCACATAACAAAGTTCATATTTCCAAAATAGGTAATAAGTTTATCAAACTAAGAAATATGCAAGGTATAAACCATTCTCAAAATAATAATTTTCTTAGTACATAACTCTTTAGACATCATAGAATGGTTTATTAAACCAAAGTAATTTCAAAGGGATTGAAATGGCTTAGTTAGAAGAACTTAAGTTAATATAAGCATGAGGTTAAGAGTTCAAATCTTACTTTAAGCAAACAACCCATTTTATAAACATATAGCATACAAGTAAAATAGCACACAAAAATGTTAGCGGGGGGGAGTTGAACACGCGACATGCAACATCTCACCAAGGCATCAACACAGCACCAACAAACCACTCCAACACCTCTACACATAGTGCCAACTTTCAGTCCAGAATATATAAGTCAAGACCCGAAACAGTTTCAGTCCAAAATACTCAACATTTCCAGGGCAAAAAAACATAGTTTTGAAACACAGTTCCGGTAGACATTTCCAGTCCAAAAACGCAGCTCAAAACATCAATATACAACTTAAAACACAAGTTTAATTTATAGTATAGGGTAAAAATAGTTTGAGAGAAATAAACACTTACCTAAAACATCCAAATCTTAGCTATTTAGCTTGCCCAAATACTCCTTGTCAAAATCCCTAATATTTTCAAATATCAATCTTAGGGCTCCAAAGATAAACCCAACTCATAATGAGTAAAAATTAGAGGTTAAACTCACCTAGAATACCCAATATCTTAGAGATCTAAGCTTGAAGAAGATGGAGATCCAAGCTTCAAGGTCTTCCCTTCCCCTATCTCTCTCTAGTCAACTCCCCTTATCTTCTTTTAAAAGATATCTTTCTCCAAGACCAAGGGATTCCTTAATCTTTAAGGGTAGAGAAGGGTAATTTAGTAATTTTATCTAATATCAAATTTTAATAAGCTTTGACTTGTTGACCTCATTTACTAAACATATATATATATTTTATTTATAAGGTTGTGGGTATTACAATCTCCCCTCCTTAAAATAAGTTTCGTCCTCGAAACTTGCATACCTTCAAACTTGAAGAGTTCTGGATATTTATCCTCATATCATCTTCC